ACAAAACTATCCATTGGCATATACATATAAAGAAATTGTAATTCTATTACTACTATCATATTTGGTTTAGCAACAAATTCTATTGGTTCTTAGACAAGTTTTTGCAATTTCATAGAAAGACCTATGAAAACTATTTTTCTCTAAAATTTTCTTGTTGGAATTATAAAACTATTTTTTCTTATATATATACAAGAAGAATTTCAAAAGTTACATAGATTATTTTGATTTCTTTTCAATTATTTTAGAATTATCTTTTATTTAATAATAAGAATATTTTCAAAAAATAATTACATGTATGGAAAAAGGGTAATTTTAATATTTACAAAGTCTAAAGGATCATGTGATCTTTACAATTTAGATCTTTTTAAGACAACATAAATTTTCAATATTTTTATTAAAGTCTAATTAAGATTTTAGAGGTTTTTAAAGTTTTATGAGTAGTCATACAAATGTCTTATTGAAAATATCTTATTCCTAATTTTAAATCAAATCTTCATTTTAAGTTAATATTTCATTTTTAGAAAATTAAAAACACAATAGAAATATATTTCTTTCCTATCTTAGTTTCATTAATGATTGAAAATTATTTTGATTTTCATTAATGATTAAAAAATTATATTCATATAATTATATATTAAAATTGATTTACTATAAAAAGTAAAAGTTAATTTTAGTTACTATAGACTAATTACAAGTGATGGAAATTTTACAAGATGTCAATCTCAATCTTTAACATCCAATTAGAGATTCTTTAAAGTATTTTGAAATTTTAAAAGAATATCTAAAAAGTACAATTTTATAACTAAAACAATATATATATATATATATATATACATATATTTTCTAAGGAAAATTAACAATCAATGAAAATTATACCCAAATCTATTGACAATGAAGACTCTTTTAATATCATAAACAACCAAGTGTCTATAAACAATACTACATCCAATTTCTTATGAATACTAGTATTGATGGTTTTTTTTTAGTAAAAAAATATTATTTTTTCCAAATATTGAATAGAAATAAAGTATTATATTTGATATGCTATTGAATAGAATTAATTATTAAATAAATTTGTAACTAAAAATTAAGTATTTATTAATTTTTCAAAATAATCTACTATAATTATTAATATTTTTCAAATTAAGAATCTAAGTTTGATAAAAATTAAAAAAATTATTCTTTACCCAGAGATAATTCATCATATAATTTTAATATTTAATAATAATTTTTTTTAAAGATTAAAACAAAAAATATCACAACTCCAATAAATTATGTAATATCTCTATAATTACTAGAAATTCGTACTTGTTTAAATATATATAAATATTTCTTAATTAGAAATTTAATTTAATACTATAATTTTTATTATTCATTGATATCTTTTAAAAATAATTTCTCATAATTTCTAATTATACTTATTGTTTTAATATTTTTTAATATTATTCTATTTAGCATATTTTTAGAAAAATATTCATTCTAATATTTAACTTAATTATAATATAGAGTTTTTTAACACTACTAATTTCTTCACCTTTTATTGCAACATCTCAAGATTAATTAAAGATGTTTTCAAATTTAAAATAAGAATATAATGTATAATTGATTTATCCAAACATGATTTTATTTAGCACAAAAAATCTATAGAAACTGAATGAAAATGTTAAAACATACAATGATAAAAAAATAAAAAATAAAATCTTTGAAATCAAATAATAAATATTATTCATGATATTTTATTTCTATTCCTATTTATTCTTTTAAAATCAAAAGATTAATATCATAAAGATACATGATTTTTCTTTTTATAAAAAGACTACAAAAGTTATACACAATTATATTTTATAAATTCTAACTTAGTACTATTTCTATTAGCTCTTTATTCATTTTAATCTCCTACAAGTCTAATTTTGTAAGTTCACTACATGTGATAAAATTCATTATTTTTTTATTCATTATTAACTTCAATCTACTCTAACATAGATTATTAAATGCCATCTATATTATCTACTATTTTTCTAAAAACTCCGCTTGGATTTAATTATAAAAGATAAAATAAAAAACCATATATTTCTATTATTAGATATATTATTAGTCATTATATATATATATATATATATATATATATATAATACCTCAACTTTTTAATTCTATAAAAAACTTTAATTATCCAATCAACTAGATAGATTCTCAAGTAAGTTTTGTTTGGCTATTTCAACCTACTTATCATGGTAAAGTAAATAAATATTTTATATACAACTAATCAAATAGTTGAGAGAATGTAATTTACAAATATTACATAATTAGATTCTTGTCATTATTTGCAATATAGTGAAGTACATAAAAAAAGAATTTTTTAAAGCATAAAAAATTATGGCCAAAGATTTATATTGTAAGTCTTTAAAAAATTATTTTTTAGAATTAAATTATTCTTATGGCTCTAAAAAAAATTATACCTAATAGGTCCACTCTTGGTGAAAACTACAATTCTTTGTATGCACAATATTTATATTTATTTATAAATATTTAGTATTATAAAAATAAATAATTCATAGCTTAGAGAGTAACAAAGATAAAATACATCTTAAATTGTATAAAATAAAAAACTTAGTTAAAAAAATAGAACTCATTTTAACATTATCAACTCAAATATTTAAATTCTATAAATTCTAAGGTTCACTAATAGTCCAACTCTTTTTAAAATAAATAACTAAATAAGATTTTTTTTTACCAATTTAAATTTATTATATTTTTCTTTATTAAATAATTTTTTCTTAGCCATTAAAAAAAGAAGAAGAAGAGAGATCTATTTGAAATTTAAGATAGATAACTTTCAGGAAAATTTTAAAATAAAAAAACAAACTTGAATGATCAAAAGATATATTTATTTTAAAAATCCCATTTAACTTCACCACCCATTAAATAAAAATTAAAGATTTTTTTTAAGAAAATATAAAATATAAAACAAAAAAAAATCTTATAGTAATAAGATCTCTAAGATAAGTAATTTAGATCCCTTTGGAATTAGAATGAAATCTTGATGATGACTTCTAGCATAATTTATATAGCTTAAATACAATATCAAAATTAGAAATTATATATATATTGAAACTATACTTTTTTATAATTCTAATATTAATTGTGAAATATGTAGAAGTATTAGACTTTCAATTCTTTTTTCATAGCAATTTTTTAGAACATAAATGAAAATTTTAAAAATATCTATCTTTATTTGGCTTATTTGGCACAATAAAATTATATTAAATATCTAGATATTGATAATATACTATTGATAATATACTATTATAAAGTGGTGTATGATCTAAGTTAAAGTTCTTAGATTATTTAGAGATAAATATAATACTGATATATTCTAAGATAAAAGTTGACCAAATATCAAAATAGAACTAAGAATATGGAGCTACTTATAAAATATGGAAAATTTGATTATTGCAAAATTAAAGGAAGGAAAAGAATAAATAATAAATCAAGAGCAATTATTGAAAACAACACAATTCTTGAAGAAGTTCACAAAAATATGGATGAGTGATATTAGACTAGACATTACAGAAACTAAACATGTCATTTGGTGAAACTATTCTCTATTTTCTTAAATTTATATATTCTACCTTATTTTTCGAAGAGGTCTGTAAGCTTAAAACTACCCACAACTTTCAATTCCTTCAATTGGTTAAATTACAGACTCTTCAATTCCAACTAATCAAAGGATTTAATTTTTTTTGGTTTTCTCACATTTTCTCTTAAGTGTAAAGACTAGTAAATCTTTACAAGTACTGTGGAAATTTGTAATCTACTACTCTTATTTAATAACTAGAGTTTAACCCTCGAATGCTTCAAAATAAAAGTGACTCTCCAACAAACTCACTCTGAGCCGAAGGAATCACCTTAGGATTTCAGGATTAATCAGCAACTGGGTACATCGACAGTAGTGAAGAATAATGAAAACAACAAATAAACAAATAAAAACAAATGACAATTCTCCGACCTTTCAATGGTGGCGATGCTCCATGGCTTGTCAAGGCACTGGAGAGAGTCTCGAGAACGGCGCCCACAAAACTGGTGATCTGCCAGAAAAAAGTGTCCTGCGTTTCCAGACACTGAAACTGTATGAGGACTAACTTAACTTGGTAATTCTCATGTCAAAACCCACGAGATGCTTAGGCGCCACTGACAAACTACTGCTTCCCCTGGACGATTCCTCAGTTGGATCGGCGAATTCGTGCCCATACCCTCACTTCATTTATTGTAGTAGGAACATGACAAAAAGCAAACTATGACGTTGCTTTCGTTTTCCAGTGATTTGGCATTGAAATCGACCAGGATTCAGCTTTAAGAGTTCCCACACGGGACGATACGTGGGAGTCAGAAGACCATGCCGTAGTTCCGACTTTTTACTCTGGTGTAACTTCACCGAAGCTGATCCTATGCCATTGAGGTCAAGGTTGGATTGACGATTCGAATCGAACGAGCCGGAATGTTCCGATGACATTCTGATCGATCCCAGAACAATCAAGTGAGTAGAAAATTGCAGCTCATGCTCTGGCAGCTGTAGCTTCACGTGCTGATTAGCCCACTTGACTCTTGGGAGAATGCACACTGACATCACATTTTATGATATAGGGAATAGACAAAGGTGAGATCGGTGTCGACGCCAACGCGAATTGTCGGTAAATTGTAACTTTGTCTGCCGATGCTCGATTCGGATCGAAACTTTTACCAGCGATATGGCAGACATGACTGCTGCTGCTGCCGAGCAGCTCCACCTCTCCGGACCCTCACGACCTACGTTTACTGTCGTCGCTCGAGGAAATAGAGTAGCTTGTGTGAAGCACGAGCTGTTTGGAACAGGTTACCACTTCCAGAAACTGTGGCGATCAAACTCACTCAAGTGATTGAATGCGAACCGTAGAACAGTATACATGGGAGCTACGGTTCGGTCGAAAGTGTTGTCATTTGATGATGGATATCGACAGTTTTTAGTGAGCCTGGTTAGTGCATAATAATTGTGTCAGGGTACAGTGTTGAATCCTTGACGTCTGATGTTTCGCCCACGTGAACCTTGACTCAGCAATCTTCAGAGGCCTATATTAACCTGGCGAGGAGTCACTCGTCTTTCAGGTCTCAGACTTCGAGGAGTGTGCTAGCCCCACGCCTGATCCCGGCCCTCGGTTCGATTCTTATCGCTTCTCCAGTGGGTTACTGCAAGTCCGGTTCAGCTCGGAAAATTGAAGTGGGAGGGGGGGGGGGGGGTGTTACGTTGGTCGATCAAATTGGGAGCTATGGCTTCCTTCAGAGCCGGTGCGGCAGTGTCTCTGTGCCTGATGACACTCGTGACGATGCTCAGTGTAGATGCTCTCACCACTGACTTCTACGCCAAGTCGTGCCCGCGAATTCACTCCATTGTCAAGGCGGAAATCAAGAAAGCTGTAAATGTCGAGAAGAGAATGGCCGCCTCCCTCATCCGCCTCCACTTCCACGACTGCTTCGTGCATGTAAGTGTTGGGCATGTTTACTCCAATCAGCTCGTGTTGTCCTTCAACCCCCTGCCATTCATCGTCTCATGCTTCCAATTTTAGAAGAATGTGCTAGTGGATCAAATTTGGCAAGTATTTTGAAGGATACCAATAAACAATCTCTTGCAGTCTCACGACTGGGTTCGGGTTAATATTTTTTGGTTTGTTTTGTTTGCATTCTATTCGTACTTAGTTTATTACAAGTAGCTGCATTTGAGTGTATCTTAGCTCCATCATTTCACCAAGCGGATTGTCAATGTGATTTGTAACAGGGATGCGATGGATCGATACTCTTGGACAGCATCCCAGGAATGGATTCAGAGAAATTTGCACCCCCGAACGACAGATCTGCAAGAGGGTACGAGGCGATTGATGCCATCAAGGTCGCATTAGAGAAGGCTTGCCCCAGGACAGTCTCATGCGCCGACATTTTGGCCATCGCATACCGTGATTCAGCTGTTGAGGTACACTCTCGTTCAAAACTTCGCAATACTGTGTGATTCATCTTGTACATGATCTCGGGTATCAAACGCAACATGCCCATTGTGAGAGGTCGTTTTTTCTGTCTCAAAATATTTCATGGTTGGATTCCACAGGTTGGGTTGGTACCCGAATATCCAGTGCCCTTCGGTCGCCGCGACAGCCTGAGAGCAGCTCCTATCGCTGAAGTCAATTTACGGCTGCCAGGACCAGACTTCGATATCTCCACATTGAAAGCAAGCTTTGCTAATCAGAGCTTAGACGAGAGAGATCTTGTCGCGCTGTCCGGTGCTCACACAATCGGCAGAGTTAGATGTCAGTTTGTCAGATTATTTCTCAACGACCCCGGTACGAACGCAGACTTCAAAAAGGAACTGGCCAGATTATGTGCACCAACTGTCGACGCCTTCACACTGCAGAACTTGGACCTGAAAACACCAGATAAGTTCGACAACAACTACTACAAGAACCTGCGAAGAGGCGAGGGCATTATCCGAAGCGACCAGGTTCTGTGGAGCTCCGAAGGCACTCATCAAAAAATCACAAAGGACTTCGCAGAGAACCAGGAGAACTTCTTCCGCCAGTTCATAGAGAGTAGCATCAAGATGGGTAAGATCAAGCCACCCCCAGGGAGTCCTAGTGAGATCCGGTTGAACTGCCACCAGGCCAATCCCCGGCCCCTCATCGAGCAGGTTGTGGCTGTCGAGTGATTTGCTTGCTTCGACATGTGGACAATCGGCGGCTTCATCACGTTCTGGAAGGCCGTCGAAAACGAGTTCTGCCCTCTGCGAACAAGATTGAAAGATGGTAGTGGAATGAATTGGTGAAGTTTGTCATTCCATTTCGAGGGCCAGGAGAGCAATTTGCAACAGTATAAACCTGATAAGTTATGAGGAGGATTGTGCAATGTCGGTGCTGTCATGTTGGTGCAGGAAGACGGTGCCCTGTTTTGTTTTCAAGGACTTGTCAATTCTGTTTGTGTTCTTGCTTAGACGAATGTAAATGCAGTTTTATAAAGAAGTTTTTTGAATATGAAATAGTTGCTGATTATTGGTGCTCTGGTGCTCAAACTCTTCCTACTGTGGTGGCTTGACTGAAGTAATATAGTGACTAATGTGATTAAATCTCTTGCTTATTGCAATCAACCATTGCTAGCCAGGATTGGGTGATATTGAAAAGATTATGAAATAAACTGGCAGTGACATGGAAGTCGTGTATGGTGGGCCTCATCTTCAAATTCCAACAGCTTTTGCACTACCACAGCTATGCAGTAAGGATACCCCATCTTTGTCTATTGAATTCTATTTCAAACAGTTCCTGGTAACTTTCCCTTCTTTCTCAAAAGCTCCACACAAAAACTACAGTGTCTTGCTTACCTACAGCAGAGAAATGATTGCTTGTCCTGGAATCTGACTTAAAAAAAGCCGTGCTGAATAAGCAACTTCCTCAAGTCCAACTCGAAAATAATCAGAAACAACATTAAACCAGTGTTAATCACGATGGCATCACCTTGTGAAAATATTTCATGTGAAAGAAATGTCATTAACAAGCTTTGTCACAATCGAGTGCGATGGGATATGCCACTTATTCTGCAAGGGAAAACGTCAGATACCACATGACATCGGTGTGATGTCACTGCACTTTGTTCACGAAATATTCCTCTACGGCTATTTAATGCTAATTAGCGTGCAATGCATCCACGGGACTCACAAGCGCGAAGTGCCCATCCATCTCCGCAACTATTCTCAAAACGTTTTTAACAATTCTGCTTTGTACTGCATATAAGATAATTGCTCAGCATTGGAGAGGGTAGCAGTGATTGTATGTACTTTCAACCATTTGCGAAGAAGTAATCACTTCGTTCACCTGAAAAGTGAAATATCTTAAACCACGCATACCAGTCTCTGTCGCAAACAATGAGAAGATCGGAACAGAAAGATACGGAGCTTGGGCACCCAATCCAGTCCAAATTTACCACAAGTCAAAAGCCTGAAACCCGACAAAGACCAAGTCTTTAAACTGCTCGATAAACGAGAGATTAGCTCACCCCAGGTCCGTAATGGTCGTAGAAACCAAGAACAATTAAAGGGCAAGTTAACGAAGAACAACAGTCTCCATTCGTACTGCAGCTTGAGCTTTTATTTCTTACAAAAGATATGTATATATATAAATCCACTTTACAATCCCATGCAAATTGGCATAGTGAAGGACTTTCAACTGGTTTCAGCCATGGTGAGTGCGCACCGGCAGAGCTTATCCTGACACACAATCTCCTCATCGAATACACCCTATGTCCTCAACAGCACTAATCTGAGGGGAACAGAAGTATTAACCCAATACTTACTTCGGAATACCTTAAACCGTCACGGTTTTTCAGCTATCTCTGGGGGTTCATTTTTGGATTTATTTTTGGATTATTGTTATTTTAATTTTTGTTTTGAGTGGAGAAATAAGTTTTTGATGTGCTCCAAAAGAAAAAATCACGAAAACCATAGTGGTATAATTGAAATAAAATTTCACAGGGCTTTACACTTGGAGCCCTTGAATCAACACATAGACTTGGCCAAACTCGTCCATAAAAAACACCTTAAACTACCATCGCCATCACTCTGAACCACCAACTTCATTATGTAAAGTTTGCCGAACATTGGTGGGCTTGGAATGGACTTGAAATCTTCCTACATGAAGAATAGACAGTTTTGGGTTTGAGCAAGGGCAGCTTCAGACAAGCTCTATGGGTTGGTTGAGGAGTGTGACACAGTTTAAGGTATTCTGACGTTGGCAGTGAAGGCACAACAAGAGAGAAACAAGCACTGAGATGGGAGTGAAATGAGAATGGTGAAGCCCACACCTCTAAGCTTGTGGGTTATGTGAAACCCACACCTCCTGACCTCAGCCTTGGAATCATCATCCTCATCAAAGGACTGGAAAACCTTAGAGCTAGTGAGTTGCAAGAGCAGGTGATGCTAGTGTAGAATACCAAGTTACGCTGCAAAGTTGCTGCAGCCAGTTTCCATAAGTCACTCTGAATTGGTAGCTCTACGGCAGAGGCACTGTGAGTTGCAAAATCTTAGTCATGCTAAAAGCAAAACACTGTCTGCTTTGAGACTTTGTGCTTTGTATTCTTTAATGTTTATTTTTGTATGGATAGACCATAATGACTTGATTGTACATACTGAATAAGGATAGGGATAATCCTTTGGGAAGATAAATAAAGTGATTATTTTGGTTTGTTGAGGGGGTGCGTGAACTTCAAATGGAGTTTTTCTGAACTTGGGTTTGTGTTTTTGTACACTTTATGTGAAGTTCACAAGCATAAGAGGAAGGGGAGTTTTTGTAGAGACGTTTTTGAAGCACTGAGAACATGTTTGTTTGGACATGTTGATTTAAATGTTGACTCTCAATTTAATTCAATATTGATTGTAAAATCTTTTTTAATGTTTAAACATGTTAAAATAGGATGTTAATAAAAAAAATCAATTCGCATAATTTTTTATATAATTTAAAATGTCAATGACTTGCATTAAATACTTTTCCAGAATGCAGCTTATTTAAAAGCTCAGTAAATTGATTTTTCTTATTTTACAAAGACTTCCTGAAGTTTTTGTCTTTTAAACGACTCCATAATATAAAATAAAAAGTTAAGTATTGAAAAGGGGAAACCTAATTTTTAATCAAGAATATTTTGTACAAAATTTACACAGAAACGTTTGGCAAAAATAATCAGAATCAAAACATTTGAACATCATTCCACTTTGTAATTCTTGATTTTTTATTCTAATTCCAAAACAAGCATAGTCTTTTTATATTAATTTTTACTTCCTTGACATTCAATTTTTTTTTTTATCATTGAAGGTAACCTTTATATGCAATTGCATGGGCTATTGAGCACAATATGATCTTTGCTGTGTGCTGTCAATGCAGTAATTCTAATATCTTCATATTATTAATTATGTGCTTTAACCTTTGATTTTGGTTTTGTTCAAAAAAAGTTAAAAAAATTCTATAATCTTGAAACAAAACTTTCATTAACTTTATCTTGTTAGGACGAACTTAACTTATTTCCCATCAAAGAGTACTTACAATATATATATATATATATATATATATATATAAAAACATATATTTTGAAGAATGTATTTTTATATATATCACCAAAAAAATTAAAACATTCTTACTATTTTTTTATTTTTTTTAAATAACGAAAACTAAGGTTCATTCTGTGTCATTTAAGAGCATGTTGTACAAGTAAAAACTTAAAAGGTAAAAAAATCTGCAAAAGAAAATAGTTCAAAATATACATATGTACACACATCTAATACATTTACAAAAATTCCAGCAATTGTTATGAACATTTTTTTCATTTATTTTTTTTGGAATTCTATTTAGTAAAATGAAGAAATGTCAAAATTAAAACTGAGATGTTGATTTCACATTAATTTAATGAAATGTCACACAAGTGAAATTGATTGTAGATGTGATATAAAAATATAGATATGTTATAAATATAAAACTCGTGTTAAGATTTGTTTTTTGAAACAAAAAGATAAACGACATACCAATATATTCAGAAAAAAACTATTTAGCTCGTATGCTATTTTCATAATTTAATACTAATAGTTTAATTTTACTTAAATGTGAATATTAGTATAGTATCAATGCAACAATTATTGATACACAATCTGTTGCAAAGCATTTCATATACCAAAAAGCGAGAAAATTGTTTTACCTTCATCATACAATGTCAAATTAATGACTGCCCATAATTTAATTTTTTTCTCAGCCACTAAATAAAATCACTAATTTATTTGAAACGAACCCCTATCTGCTATCCTAAAAATAATTTTAACATGTCTTATACAATATAATTCCAAACACAAATTCCAAAAAAACATGAAATCTTTAGGACCTGAACATAAAAAATTAATCAGCAACTAAATCATGGTGCTTGTCACTCATTGATATTCAAGATAACATAAACCATTCAAAACAAAAGTGCTGATTCATTATTCTCCAAAATCTCCCTCTTCATTTCAAGGCAATGTAACACAGTCTCCAGAATTCCTCACACATTGTCTGAATTCTTTGCAAAAACTATTTTACACACACATACTCACATACAAGAAACACTTTGTGCAATACAAATGGTGTTGACACAGAAGCAAATCCACCACCATCAGCACTCGAAACCCACACATCCTTATGAACAGACTCACCAGCTACGGACTCTAGAAATTCCATGTCTGCTGATGCTTCATCAGTTGGGTGCAGCTCGACTCTAAACTGCAAACCTGAGAGAGAAACTGTGAAACATAAAATGAAGGTATGTCGATGCCGGATCGATGAATCAGCAAGGTTGGATGCGAAATGCAAGCGTAGATTTACTGATAAGCGACGAGAGATGATGGTGCCGAGTTCACGGCGCGGCAGTTCTTTCGGATCTCTCCCTGGTCTCCAGTGAGAGGTCTGATGTAGCCCATCTTGATGCTGCTGAGCCCATATTGAGTGAAGAAGTTTTCCTTGTTTTTGGCGAAGTCCTTGACGATGCCCACGTTGGGGCCTGGAGTGCTTTGCAGCGTCTGGTCGCTGGTGAGGACACCTTCCCCTCTGCGCAGGTTTTTGAAGTAGTTGTTGTCGAACTTGTCCGGCGTTTTGACGTCCAAGTTCTGCAGCGGGGGATCGATTGTTCCATTGGCAGTGTCACAGGCTTTAATCAGGGTGTCGCGAAACGCGGCGTTGATGTTGGGATCTGTCGATGAGTTGGACACGGTAATGACTATGCATCGGACTCTGCCGATTGTGTGAGCACCTGCAATTGGATACCAAGCAATGGTCAACCTTTCAGTCAAATCCGTGGTTATCTGCTACAAAATACAACTGAATTTGACCAGAAATTAGCAACGAGTGTCGTGCCACTGGCATGGCCGGCTGTATCTTTGTGCCAGTGTTCAAAGTAAGTAGTGGGCACTGAGACACCCGTAGCAATGTCTGAGCATTGTCGGAGTGCCAAATGTGTGGTAGTTAGACATCAGTGAACAGAATCTGATACCTGATAGGGCGATGAGATCAGTTTCATCAAGGCCTTGGAATTCAAAATTAGCCTTCAGGACGGAGTAATTGCTGTTCGGTGTTGGGAGTCGTAAGTTGGCTTCATCTATACTTGCGGTCAGGCTGTCACGGCGACCGAAGTACACAGGATAGGTGTCGGTCAACCCAACCTTACACATTCAACCACAGTCTCGCTGTGAAAAGTTCTGAAATTTTTCTTTGGTCAAGGAGATAGCTTACAGATGTATTATGGATAGATTGAGAAACATGGTGGTACCTGAACAGCAGAGTCACGAGCTGCGATAGCCAGGAGGTCGGCGCAGGAGACGGTGTTTGGGCATGCAGACTCCAGCCGAGTCTTGATGGTGTCAATCACCTCAAACCCCCTAGTGGAGTTTAAGTTGCTACGTGACAGCTTTTCTCCAGTACCTCCCAAAATAGGATCGTCCAAAAGAAGCGATCCGTCGCATCCCTACCACAACCCACGAAAGTTAGTACATTCTTCTACCAAACTGGGCTCTGACCACGATCGAAGTGCACACCACAGATCGACCATTTACATATCAACGACATAAAAACAGGGATACTCTTCTGTGTTGAATATTCAGTTTGTTACGGATCATGTACTCTGGCATCACAGATGTTGCCTTCACTGGAAATTCTGTGAGTTCATACATTGACAAAGCAGTCATGGAAATGAAGGCGAATCAAGGAAGCCGCCATCCTCTTCTCGGCCTCCACCGCCTTCTGCACTTCCTCTTTGACAATGGAATAAATTTCGGGGCAAGACTCGTCGTAGAATTCAGTGGTGAGAACTTGGGCGTTGACTAGGATGACAAATTTCACAAGTATTAATGCCACTACAACCCGCGCTCTAGCTCTCGAGATGGCCATTGTTTCACTTCTCAAACAAGGCCACTGCCGTCAAAGCTTCAACTCACACGGGACGACAGCAGAATCAGTGGCGGTTGCCAAAAAAGAACATCCTACTCCCAAGCTCTCAGACATAGAGACTAGTCTCTTCTGCCAGTAATATAGGAGTTGCTGCATTTACATTAGTAAACTTATTTAGCAAGGTAAAGTTTTGGTCCTTTAACCTCGGCGCTTGCTCCCAGTCGATGATGTATGGTGGGCTCCATTTCCGAACACTCGAAATCCGAGCTTTGGTGGCACATCATTGTACACGATTGAAAGTTGCTAGCGAGGACCCACAGTTGACGAATACGAGATTCAATTAACTCTCTACTTGTGCTCAATCCCAACAGACGCATACACATTGCAGAATAATCAAGCGGATGGACGCCGACCATATTTTGGAATGGGTATGAATGCTTCTGGTGATATTCACGTCAAACACTGGTTTCTTGATCTGCAAAAAACCCCCCAGATATTCTGCCGACTGAGATCGCTTCTGACAGAATTGTATCATGTTCGAGTCACGGGAGAAGTCCATCCAACTCAGTTCACTTCATGCAGACCTTCATGTGAATTTCGTATTACCAGCACCACTAGAGCACACCACTAGAAAGTCTTAAGTTCTTAAAAAGCTTTGGTCACTAAACCCGCTGTAAATTGAAAAACGACCATGTGAATTGTGTATACTTTTCTCAATGTACAGAGGCAGCAGGTAAATAAAACTTTGACTGTGACGACGAAACAATTTTGTTTCTTTTTGGCTTTGAATGTACGTCCTTGAAATCGAGTCTACAGATCTACATATATCTATCCTAAAAAATCTAGTTCTACATTGCAAACTTGCCGGAACAAATACTTCAAACCATGAATGCAATATTAAATCGCTTTATGTCTGTAAGAGCTCCGATTCGATGGGTGGCGTCAATGCCGGCCTTTCAATCAAGAGACTGATTCCATGACATGACCCACCTCATCGATCTTCCTCCACAGACTCCCTCGCACTGTTGAGAAAACCTTTGATAGCTCTCTGTCCGGATAGCTACTCATTTGGGTTAGACCATGTTTGTTGCGGTCTCGGAACATGAAGCGAGACTACATCGAGCATAACAGACCAGTACACTCTTCCGCACTCTCTCCATCACGCAAGCTTGAATCTACACAGATTTGTCCCTGTTTAGCAAAATTGGATCTGTCCAGACCTGTCATAGTTCGGCAGAGAAGGTGTTTATTTGATTTCCAGAAGTCATGGGATATGCTTTGCTTTGTGAGCCTGGAATCAGTTACAGAAACACCAACGTGGCTCATGCCTCGAACACTGTCGATAACTGGAAATGCGTGGAAAGGTCACATTTTGTTTGGGTCTGGTCAGAGGATATGGTGAGCAAATCTCTTCCGCCCATTGAGACAATTGGTGTCAATCAATCATATTACAGCACCCTTAAAAGATACATTCATGTAGAAATTATTCACTTGCTTCACTTTCTTCACTTTCTCCCTTTTGTGAATGAATGTATCTATACATTCATTCATTTAGAAATTATTCATATTTTTATATATCCTAGCTCATTTATTCTAATAATGGGATCTATAATCTTTGTAAACACCGAAGACAAAAAAAATCATTATAAAAAAATGAATCAAGATTGTACATAAATAGGTGTAGTATATAATATATTGAAACTTCTGACAAAGATTGCATGCACCACATCAAGAGAATTAATCTTAGCACACATGCTAGAAAAGCATAAAACTGGCAAATTAATGGATAATAATGTGATGTGCAACACACAAGATGCAATATTTGGAAAAATTAAAAGAACAATGTAATATATGATAAGAGCATAAGTAAATTAAATTAGTCATTTGCGTTAAGTACTAAGTGTTGTAAAATTGTAGATTTCAAATAGAATTAATAACATATAATTTAAATATTTAAGATGTAAATAATTTTATTTTCTAAAAAATTAATCTTTATGGTATTTATTATTAAATAAATAAATAAAATACACATATTAACTTACATCAATTGTATAAAAAGAACTATTGTACGAATATATATATATATATATATATATATGTATCATTTTTTTTATGAGAATATTAAATTAACTCACATATTTCTTAAATCAATCTATTGCTGGTAAAACATAATTTCTACCTCCATCAAATTGATGTTGCTCTGCTCTTAGATCTACTTTGCTTTGATCTAATCTTAAATCTATTTTGTTTTTTTCTTAGATTTATTATGCCAACTCTTAGTATTATTCTGCATTAATTTAGAATAAAGTAAATATGAGATTAGAGCACATTAGATTTGAGAGCAAGTATAGTAGATGTAAGAACAAAAAAAACGTAGATATGAGCAAAGTAAATCTTAGAGTATAGCAGAGTAGATTTTGTGGAGGTAGTAACTATATTTTATTGTCAATAGGTCAACTTTAGAAATGAGTGAGTCTATTTAATATTTTTGTATATATATAGATACAACAAGAAAAAAAAAATTGTGGATTGAGATGATTGGTATCAATCAGTCATATTAAAAAAAAAAAAAAAAAAAAAAAAGTGAAGTTGGAGATATAATGAAAGTCCATATAAACACAATGAATATTTTGACTAACCAAAAAGACATGATAGAGATAGATGTCAAAAGCTTTATGATTTAGAATACTGTATTAAATATCTCACATATATATTTTTGATATTTTAAAGAGAATGGTGTTTCTATGCATGCATCCATCCACAAAGTAATAGATATATTCACAATGAATTCATTCATTTAACAATTATTTGATAAATAACAGTGATTCATTACATTTAGAAAATTGGTAATGTTACATCTCCAATTGATATTACTACACTCTACATGACCTCAACATGACTTAAATTGACTAAAAAGTGTGCTTCTACACTAAGGGTGTGTTTGACAATCCAATATTGACCCCAATATTGACCCAAAAATTAAAAAATCAAAAAAATAAAAATCAAAATGGTAGCCAATTATAAAAAAAATAAAAAAATAAAAAAATAAAAAATGATTTAAATAGTTTGTGAAGAAAATATTATGTTTTTAAAAACTAAAAAAAACTAAAAAAAACAAACAAACAAATAATCAAACAACTCACAATTGCTTTTTCCTAAACTGTTCATTGTCTTCTTATCAACCAACATTCTTAAAGCAAATAAATTGAAAAATGCACAGAAGATAGCTAATTGTCTACAAGGAAGTCATGTGGGGTGTAACAATATCAATTGGAGATGTAGCATTAACATTTCTCTACATTTATTTTCCAATCATTGTTATTGTTCTCATCTTTGGTGTAAAAACTAGAGAGGCAATTTTAAAACATTCAAAAGCTGGCCACTCAAGTAGCATATACGGTATGTATTGAACGGACTTTGTGCGAGTCTATACATAGTCTATACGGAAGACCTTGTCGTTTTTCTACAAGGCTTGCAATGATTTGCAATGATTTTCTTGATTGCTTCATGGACATCGACATGAAAATGTGCAGCTACTTATATATTTACCACATCCGGATTTCCTTTTAGACCGTTAGCACACTTCATTCGCAAGCAACCTCATCTTAGTTGCGTCACCACCAATATATCATTACCAAGATGCGATATACACAAACCAATAAAATTGCATAAGAAGCGCCTTGAAGATGTAAAGATTTGTGCAAGGAGTGATGTCAATTAAATATTTAGTGAACTATGTGTAATCTGGTCTACGGTAAGTGTATCCCTGAAGGTCCGGTGTGCGCTGCGCCATGTTGAGCTCTTTGAGATTCATCTTTGTAGAGTACTTTAAGGGCCTTCTTTGCAGCCCTAGCTTCTCTTCGTTCTTCCTTCACTGCTGCCTGTACTACCAAAGGGAGGATATTAGAGATTCGATGCTAGTTGAATAGTCCAAGCTAAAAAAACACCACGCAAGGAATAACAAATAAGCACATAACGAGAGGTTCGGTTGAATCCCAAGGTTAGACACACGGGAACAACACAAGCAGGCTACAGATGAAAGACGGTACCTTTCGAGCCTTCCGCTCCTCTGGTGTTTCTCCAGCACGGGATACCGGTTGCGGCTTTTTACAAGAATCTTTTCCTAAACTCTTCAATTGCTTTGCTTTCTCTGCTTGAGGTCTCAGAGGGAGGAAATCTGTCGGCAAGCTTGCCTTTCCCCGAAGCTTAATGATGCCACCAGTAGCCTCTTTATCCTCCAGAACCTTCCCCAGCGTGGGCGCCTTACGCCGGGGCTTGCTTGGAGCAGCGATTTTACCAGGATGGTTATCTAAATTTGATAGGGTTGATACGACGGTCTCACAATCCCAATTACTACGGTCATCTTCGCTCTCTACCTCTATTACGACCAACTCATCGTCCTCTGAATAATCAACGACATTGTTAATAGCAGAATCGATTTTTTTTTTTTTTTCTGCTTCAAGGACTTGTCCGTTTTCCGCAGGTTTCGAAGCTGAGGTAGAGGCTGCAGCCCTTCTAATCTCAGCTGGAGTCATGTACTTATCGCCAAAAACTTTGGGGTCAGACAGGAACTCCGAGAGGACGTCATCAAACTGGGAGAGGTCAGCGTGACCCCTGACTTCTGAGTCATCATCATCAAAATTGTCATCGTCATCATCATATTCCCGTAAAGCAAGCTACACACACAAATCACAGGAACAATTTGAACCGTGAAAACAAAGAAACATGCCGTAACAATGAATATCAACTCCTTTGAGTATTAAAAAGCATATCTAAAACCTATTTGCTGGATTGAATCCGTGTAATCAGATAAATCAAATAGTTTCATTAAATTCAAATCTGCAAACATCTAACCTGTTCAAACTGTTCGTCCAAAATCCGACTGGGCCGATTATGTTCGATAGTAACAGCAGAACGGGCACCCTCGTCCTCATCACTGAATTCCTCTTCTTCTTCGTCTCCTTCAGGAAAACTTTCCTGAAAGTCAAAACCCATCTTTTTGAAGGTTGCATTCTCTGGCGCTTGGAACTCCTGAGAGGTGGAGCCCTCTGGGAGATTGTTTGCAAATACTATAAAATCGTCTTCGAGCTCTTCCAAGGAATCGAATTCTGAACCCTCACTATCGTCAAGTAATGCAGCTACCTCAGGATCCAAACCATTTTCCACATATGCAGGGCGCTTCACCCTGTGCGTGCTTGATCCTACAACCTCAATGATCTTTTTGGCGCTAGCTTCCTCTACTAATTGAACTGGCACTTTCGAAGAATCAAAAACCTGAAATGTAGGCAAAGGAATCCAATTTCCACATTTCGTCAGCTACACAGCCGCACACAAACGACAACTTTTCATAATTAGACACTTGCCTACTTGGTCAAGAGCACCTACAGCCAATTTGCAGATTTCCAATTGCACATAGAAAGTATGCAAACGCCCACAGCATGTGCGAAAATCTGTTCGTCGAAATTCCGAAACCTCATATAAGCTCATGTATTTACCCTCGCCAAAAAAGAAAAATATTGGAACAGGGTAAAATTCACAGGATTAACCTTCACATCAGCACGAAGCTTTTCGGGCTTCGGACGGGCGGCAGGCACAAACGATCCCCCAACGCCTGATACTCCAATTTTCCTCATGTGTTGCATATAATCATACCCATCATCTGGAAACCCTAACTCCACGAGCTCCAACCTAATGTGCTCCGGAAGCGGCCCTTTGTGCGCAGCACGAGACGACACCGACCTCCGAGTCGATCGTGAAACAATCGACCTCGATGACCTCACAGATTTCACGTCACAGTCTACTCCGCCCTCTTCCTCAGCATCTGCAAACACCGACGATTCTTCAACCGCTGCACCCTCATCCTCCTCACCATCATCTGTCTCATATCCATAATCAGGGTTGGTCCGTGGGTCCTCTTCGGAAAACCCCGGCACCTGACCAAATCCGGCGTCAACACGAGTAAACACGCGAGCTGAAACGTCGTCGTCTGCGTCTTCAGTGTCCCTGTGCATAAGCACAAAGGTGGCCGCCTTCTTCTTGTCAATAAACTTCTTCTTCACCATTTCGATACACTGAAAAATCCAATGACAATACTTTCTATGACGGCAACAGAGAGCTTCAATCAAAGGTAAAACGACTTCCTTCAAAACTTCCAACACCTGCGAGAGAGGATTGGTGAAGTGATGGAAGAAATCACTACATTGAAGAGGGCTTAAGGGTTTAGGGTTTCTAGCCACACCGCCTCGAACGGATGACAATAAATGTCGAGGAATGTATATCCATTCGGTGATCGGGTATCCCAGGGTATCATCCATATATCTCTCTTTGGTTCCAACCTATCAGTATGTGGAATATTAACTTTGATTTCATTCAGAGGTTTCTTTGTAAAAAATTTCCACATTGCAAATTAAAGACTCTATTATATTTTATGTGATTTTAATACAAAAATTAAAATATGGAAAATATTAAATTTTATAATTGGTAAAATTTGTACAACATTTTGGAGTGTTAAAAATGTTTCAAAAAATCATGCAATATTCATTTTATGTTTAGAATATGTTTCCTAAATTATCTTGTTATTTATGATGTAATACGTTCATTTTTAGATAGTGCATGGTAAATAAAAGGTTAACTTATATTTAAATTTGTATTATGTATATTTTGGAAGAATGTTGTACACTTGATCCCAATAATATGCATGAAATCAATACCAAAAGCTATCCCAACTTCTTCTTCTATAAATTCTAATGTGAATCTATATTGTATACAAAAAAAAGTATCTAATTTTTTTGAACTACATTTATAAATTCACAACTTCATTAGGATTTCAAAATATACTACATTTGTAGTCATATTTTCATTTTCACTATCATAAATAAAAATAACTTTAATGCACATAGTGTATGTTAAAGATTCTTGACATTATAAATATTATTTTTATGCAAGCAAAGTCCTTGTTAAATGCATGCATTACCTAGATTAAATCCATAAAAATTATATCAAACATGCATATACTACATGATCAAGATGAGGGTTTATATATCTCCCAATATTTATTCCTATATCAACTCATATAACAAACACATACATATTAATATTTTTTAAATAAGAAATAATAAGAATAATTATTTAAATTCTTTAATATATTCATTACATATAATTCAAAGTTGACTAATAAAAAATATAAATTACATTGTCCACAAATATAATCTTTTAACAATAAAATTCATTGTTAAGAACAGATATTTACATTTCTATCCTATTGCAACACACATTGGTATTAATAACATGTTAATGGACAATCTTGAGTGGGTAGCATTTATAAAAACTTATTCATTAACATGAGTAAGTTAAATAAATCGTTTCTACATGTGTATAATTTATTTGACTCAAATTATTTAATTATACTAAAAAAATCATCTGTCACAATGGATTGTATTGCCAAATCATATATATATATATATATATATATATATATATATGAATCAACACAACCGTCTTTCTTCTTATAAAAAATCAGACATGTTGTGTACATGTATATGCTATGATATATAAGAAGTATAAGATAATAATATTAAGAAAAATTATATAAAATTTAAAATAGAATATCAATTAAATGGCGAAAGCACTCAAGAAGTGATTTGTTGTATGATTTTTACTCCAACCTCATCATTCACTTCCAAATGCGCACACAATATTATAAGGACAGTTTCTTTCATTCAATTAAACAAAGTATAATGAAAGTGTACATAAACAAATTTCACCTAATAAACATCAATCATATTAATATCCAAAATATTCCAAATTACACACTAAGATGTACACACATAATACTAAAATACTGGAAAAACACAAGCATGTTTTCTCGATGTTTTTTTAATCCATAAACGATTCTCAAATCAAATAACAAAGTAACTTTTAGGTTCAACCGATACTATTACGCACATATATATATATATATATATATATATATTTTCTCGAGAGTCTTATAATTTAAACGTATACTTGGCACTGCGACTCTAGGATGGATGTTCAAGTTGACACTTTTTAATCTAACAAGGTTAAGTTTTTATGATTCTTTTGTCCTAAATAAAATTCTATTGTAAAATAAGATAATGGATCTAAAGAAAGAATAGAATCTTTACTAAATATTATGCAAGATTTTAGTTGCACAGTTCCTATTATAACTAGAAAAACTTATTTTTCAACACATCGTCTTTTTTGGCAATCATGCTCTTTATTTTGTGATTGCATTGCTTTTTTGGATAATTTTGAGTAGTGAACTTAGATTCTCTAGAATATAGGCACAAACCTTCTTAATAACAATAATTCTTTTTTTATTCAGTAAGAGGTTCAAAATATACTATATCAATTTACATAGGCTCTAGTTTGAAAAAATAAGCTTCCAAAAACTTAGAAGGTGTCGCTATAGCTTGATTTATACTTCTTTAAGCAAGTCTTTGTTCTTGACATCTTTCAAAGAGTCAACTATTACATGCAATGACTTGAGTAATAAAATGATTCAATGAATCTACTCTTGGCATTATAAAGAATAAAGCTTTGATATTATCTTTTTATCCATATCAAAACTAGTTAATAAAGATTTTTTCATTCCAATCCATATTGCAAGCAAGAATTTGGAATTCAATAATATATGTGGTGGTTGAATGTGATCTTTGTTGTAGTAATACAACCTTGGTTTCTATTACTCTTTCTCTATTAATTTTTTTAAATATAACAATAAATACTTCTAAGAATGAAGTCAAAACATAGAATGGTCTTGAATCTTTTTCCATCAAAGATACAAATTAAGTAAGGATATTTTTCAACAAAAAAAATACTTATGAATCTAACTTGAATAAATCCATTAGGAGATTGGAAAGGATTTAATCTTAAATAGATCTTAACTTGATGTAGAAATCCTCAAAATTTTGACCTTGTTCCATCAAAATTTTCAAGCATATTAATCCTTACCTCCCTTGTACTTGTAGAAGCAAGACTTCTTGAATTTGATTGTAAAGCTAATCTACTTGCTTCCTTCAACTGTACAACTTTTTAGTATAGACTTTAGACTTCTTGTATATGTGTAGGAATAGTACTTCTATAATTTATATTTAAAATATATAAAATTTCTATTTTAAGAATATTATTAAACTTATGAAGATCTATAATAGTTGCAAATCTATTTTTACTTTAAATAAAAGTAGCATCCATAATCTTTCTTTCTATAGATAATTCAAACAAATTCAAAAAATTAACTTGGAGGAAGATATCTTACAATCTCTAATATAAAATGAAAATTTTTATAATAAAAAATAATTTATTATCTTTAAAGAAAAAAAGAATTAGTATTAGAAAATTATATTTTTTATTTAAAGATAGATAGTTTATAATATTCAAAATATAATAATATAAGTAGAATAATTATTTCACTTCTAAAATAAGATAAGAAAAATAAATTAGAATTCTTGTCAAACTATCAAAGACATGAACTTCAAAGAATTAAAAGGTTAATACACTCTTGTATCATTCAAAAAAACTAGAATATCATTCAAAGATAATATAGTATTAAACTAGAATGGCTATTGCCAAAGACAAAAAAATTAAAAAGTCTTAAAATAAGACTAAATACTAGAAAGGTATTGACAAGAGTGAAAAAGGCTTCACTCTTGCATCCATATTTACTATCCAATTAAGGGCTACATGACAATGTTTTATAGGACTTCTAACACATATTGACTTTGCAAGTCATGTATTTTAATTTGCAAGGCAAGTTCTCTATATGTGCATTACATAATTAACTTGTTCTATAAGCTATCAATACATATGGAACATAATTAACTTATTGACCAAGTTTTTAACCTATCAATCAACTACAAATACGTGTAAAGTCAAAATTGTATCTATAAAGCTTTTAGGAAGTTCTTTTCGAAGATACTATAATATTAATCTATATTTACTTACTTTTATCTAATCATATAGGTAATTATTGGAATAAATATATATATTTATAAAAAATTTATAAATTAAATATATATTAATAGACTTATAGAATGTTGTTGCATACCTCTAAGTTATATAAAATATATGAAGCCAAGAGTAAAACCTTCTTAATTCTATTTATTGTCTTTCTAGTCTTTAGTATTGTCTCAAGAGTCTCTAATTTTCTTGTCTTTAGTAATAGCCATTTTTATTTAATATTACTGACCTTCGAAAGGACTTTCGATGTTTAGTGATACTTTTGGAGCTAAAAACCACTCCTAATGGTATTACTAATGTTTTGTTTGAAGGAAGTTATGAAGGCATCAATAATAATCAAATATCAGGGTAGTCTTTTCACCTTGGTATGGGACATTATCGATGGTAGGGAACAAAGATTAGAATACATGGCAAATTTAATTTGGCGCATCTTAGACTTCATCAACATGTAATTACTACTCCTCAACATGTAATTACTACTCCTCATGGAACTCGTCCCTAGAAGGAGGGATAATGTCACAAACATAAATATATATATATATATATATATTTATATATATATATATTTATATATATATATATTTATATATATATATAATTATTTAAATAATAAGAAGAGATAGAAGTAAATCAAAGTAGATAAATATGATAATATCTTGTGGAAAGCTTCCTAGATGTGGAAAGCTTCCTAGAAGCTTTATAGACGTTGTTTTGCCTTTATACATATCTATAGGTGATTGATAGGTTAAAAACATGTCGACATATTCACCACTTGTAGTACAAGTTGGACATATGGCACACACCTAGGAAACTTACCTTGCAAATTAGACATGTGTCTTGCAAATTGGATGCGTATTAGTTGTTCCATAGTATGTCGATACATATTTCTTAGTTAAGTAGTATATATAGAGGCAAGAAAGAGGCCTTCCTCACTCTTGTCAATTACTTTCTTGTTTTTTATTCTAGTTTCAAGAGTCTTATTTTTTTTAGTCTTTGGCAATAAGCATTCTAATTCTTCCTTGAAAATACATGCTTTCTTTTATTTTGTCACTTTTCTTTTGACACAGATTCTACACTTTTATGTATCTTTCAATTTGTATCTTTGATTCTTGATTCTTGAGTATTTTATTTTGTGAGAGTAGACATCTTTCTTTTTATTGTGATAACATGAAAGAGCTTGCTGAAATGAAGAGTGAAATGGCTCAAATGTAAGAGCAAATGAGAGAGTTAATGCTTGCAATGCATCAACTTA